GATCACTACGACAGCCGCCTTTGTAAATTGGAGAAATTATGCCTTGTTTCCACAACTGGAGCAGCACGGTTTGCATCAAACGGATCACATATATGAGCCACCAGCTTTTCTTTTCCAAAGGATGTTTGGCGCAACCGTGCTTCCCCAGTCATGGAAACAACGCATAATTTCTCCAATTTACTAAGGCGGCTATCGGACTTGTGACATAGCTCGCAAAAATGTATCGTTTGCTGACTCCGTGGATGAGGGAGAACGATAGACCACTCCAACAAGACAATCGTGTGGTACTGGAACTGTTTCTCAAGAGGTAACTCGAAAGAAGGACGTTCTCAACGTCCATTTCACTCTTCATTGTAACTCGTACTAACCTGGGTTCTCCTGTGTGTGGTGAATTTGGCTGGCGCACAAGGCGTGTGGGGCTCACAGGTTGGACATCAATTCCCATTAGAGTGTACAAACCTTTCCAACGACTAAGCTCTTCTTCTTGCCTTTCCCTCAGTGTTTGAGTTGTCGGCTCAGGTAAATTCGTACTGGAAATCATGAACCGTTTTCCATTCTTGTAAAGACTAGTTTACCCTGATTTGTTTGGCCCATAAACCAGACTGCGATGCGCGTGAAAGCTTTATCACGAGGTTATACGTTTTGAAGCCCACATGAATGAAACAGTCAACTGGAGTGTATGTGTGGTGCAGTTCGGAAGCTTGATGAGGAACGATTACGACTAATACGGGCGGTATGTGACCGAGTACCCTAATCAGTGATTGTTTGCACATTTCCATACCACGTCTTTTTCGGATTACCTTTTCCCTACAAGACACGCAAGTTGGAGATAGCTTCCAGGTGACATGCCTAACCCCGTGTACTAAAGATTTTAACATACAGAGATTAAGCACTTCCTGTTTTGTGCGACCGCGGTTGCTTTGATCTCTGCACCAGGATTTCTGACGGCTTGTTCGGTTCACTCTCCAGATTTGTGTGACACCATGTAGACAGTGGTGTTTCAGCCCCGTTTTTATCCTTGTGTCCCAACGGATGTATCTCCGCAGCATACTGGCTGAATCGCCGGTTTATACCATGTAACATATTCTCAACCCGTTTACGTACAACGGGGCTGCGCCACGGGTGTTGATAAATGGTATCCGTGCTTTTTGTGTACCTGGCAAAATTTCATCTATGATACATACGCTGATCGGGGGTGAGATGTAGCTGCCCAAGTAACAACGTTTGTCCACTGTCGATATTGCTTCGACTGGTAGCGTGAAACTGAGACCCGGACCTGATCATTCCTACCAAAACAGTTGAAACTTCACAGTTAGAGGATTCTGTTGTTGGTCAAGACAGATATATGTTTTTTGGTACTTTTCACCATTCCGAAACAATAGACAATCGAAAATGTGGGCACAAGATAGTCTTGTGTTGCTTTTGGTGCATTGTTGGCAACGATTTTCTGCGTACGTTGTACGGGAATGATGCTGTTTGTGGAGCACCTTGAACGCTTAGGTGGTGTCAGCATCTATCCGGGCGCATATTGAGTATGCCATCCAAACTTGGAAGCCATGGATACAACATGATCATAAGATTTTGGGGCGTCCACAAAGGCTCGCCACGAAGATGGTCACAGGACTCTATTATGATTCATACATGGGGAGAATGCAGTCATTGGTCTATATTCTGCTCAGTATCGTCGGATTCGAGGAGACTTAATTTTAGTATACCAAATATTACACAACCCAAACCACCTCTGTCGCCGACTTTTGACCTTGTCATCAAACGTTCGTCTACGGGGACATCCGTTCACGTTAGCACTCCAAAAATCTCGACTGGACCTCCATACGTTCGCCGTCAGAGTGTGCACTGTCTGGAATTCCTTAGCATCTCATGCTGTTTGTGCCGAGACGATTGATTTTTTCAAGGTAAAACTTGACGAATCATTAACACACATTGCATTCCAACATCCATGAGCACAGAAAACACAACGGAATACGTCATATGGAATTTTGTTCATCATTGTTACAGTTCAATTCGTGTAAACAGCCTATGGGACAAGAAAAGCATCTCCTTGTAAGTAATGCCCATAATAAAACTTTGACTTTGTCCAGGCCAGGCCAGACGAATTTTTCAGAGGAATTCACAATTAAAGGCGTGAATGACTAAACTTGAACAATCACTTCATTCCTACCGAACATTTTCCACCTGTGCCACAACGAATGCAGTCAATCGCGTCCACAGACGAGCTGTATCCGCGAAATTGTATCCACCCCCGCCAAGAATTAGGGTTGGCAAACGCCAGGACAGAATCCGTTCGAACGCCTGGAGATAGCCACTGGTTACATCGATGCCACATTCTGTCGCCGGTGAGGTGGGGCAATCTTGGGATGGGACGTCTGAGACGAGATTTGTTAGATTGAAAATAGCATGTGGGTCGGTGGACAGACAATCGGCTCCGCACTGTACCACTACAAAAGCCGGTTGAACTAGAGCACAGAGCATATCCAAGACCGGGAGAACAGCGTCCGACCATGTCTGATCGTCACCCCCTTCGGCTGTGGATAGAACAATGCGTCAGACGAAATGAGAAGAGAGAAAGGGACGGTGAATAGAAAATATTTCGGTCACTCAGTTCGAACCAAGACAATTGTTTCGTCCTTAACTATTATGCAAGTGAATGATTAACGAGAAACGATGTATGCTTAGAAAAAGTAACTATTCCAAATGGTTTGTGATCATTTTGAAATGAATCAGTGGCATTTATTTATTCACTTTCGATGATTCAGAATTACAGTCACCAGCGTATGTAAATGTCTGGGGAGACGAGAGGAGTAATGGAGGCAGACTTTCAGTTCAACGCTCTGGTGTGTGTGTGTGGGGGGG